ATATATATATATATATATATATATATATATATATATATATATATATATATATATATCTATATGGAGTATAAAGTGGTAAATGAAAAATTTATGTGGACAACAAAAGAAGAGTAATTTTATTATTTTCATTCATACTCAAGACAATGAGGTTAAATGCCTATTTATACTCATACAAATATCATTCTAAAAACCTTTCATACACTAGCATAATCTAGAAAAGTCTACAAATAAGTTTCTTTGATTCTAATAAATGTGAAATACTAAAATTCAATTTAGAAAATATATTCTTTTAGATATATCTAATATTTAATATCTTGGTTTAATTCCAAACAGTTCTTAGTCAATACTAACGGCCTGTTTGGGGCAGCTGCAGCTTATCCAATAAATTGGTTTGCAACAAATACCCGAGGAAACCGCTACAGGGAAACTGCTGTGAGAAAGCTGGCTGCCTGTTTGTTTTTTACAATTTGAAAACTACTGTGTGACAACTATTTCTGGAAAAATGATCATCCTGCCCTCAGTGAAGTAGTATTGTTTGTAAGAGAATAGTTATAGTCATACATTTGATACTTAAACAGCCTCCTGTATAATTCATCTGATTGACTTGCTAACTAATATTCTATAAAAGTAATTAATATATATATATATATATATATATTTTAAATATTATTTTTTCTATTAATTTATTTTACTAATTAAATGTATATATCATAATTAAATTAAGTTACTTTTGCAAATATCTAATTAACATTCTTAAAATTTTCATAAAAACCATTTAATTTAATTAAATAGGGCAATTACATGTAATAGTTAAAATAAGTACTCCTATCTGAAATTTGACTTCTGCTTCCTCTGTCTTAGCTTCTTCATTAAACCAAAACCCTAAATTTTGTAAGAATTAGCATCAGGATTTCTGAACAGTAATTAAATTCATTAAGATTTACGTTATTAATCCTAATAACTAATAAATAGTTAATCCTAATAACTAAAAAATAGTTGAAATTTTAAACTGTAAATTTTAAATCGATTAAAGTTAAGATTAAAGTTAATAGTTGATCTTAGTTAATAGTTGATCTTATCTTATAATAAGACTGAGGGTTGTCAAAATGGCTCGTTGTTCGTGAATAGCTCGTGTTTGGTTAATTAAGAAGTTCGTGTTCGACGTTAAAATAAGTACTCCTATCTGAAATTTGACTTCTGCTTCCTCTGTCTTAGCTTCTTCATTAAACCAAAACCCTAAATTTTGTAAGAATTAGCATCAGGATTTCTGAACAGTAATTAAATTCATTAAGATTTACGTTATTAATCCTAATAACTAATAAATAGTTAATCCTAATAACTAAAAAATAGTTGAAATTTTAAACTGTAAATTTTAAATCGATTAAAGTTAATAGTTGATCTTATCTTATAATAAGACTGAGGGTTGTCAAAATGGCTCGTTGTTCGTGAATAGCTCGTGTTCGACTCATTAAGAAGTTCGTTTTCGACTCGTTTGCTAAGTTAACAAGCCGAGCACGAAGAAAGATTTATTCTTTCGTGTTCGGCTTGTTTTGGCTCGAAATACTACTCATCAATTATATCTATCTATCTATCCATATATATATATAATGAGTAGAATTTTTAAAAAAAATAATTGACTAAGGCTACAAAAATTCATATTCAATTAAAAGTATTAATTAAGAAAATAGTATAAAAATTATTAAATTTGGTTGGAAAAATAAACGAGCCTAACACGAGCTGAGCATGGGCTAGCTCGTGTTCGACTCGTTTACACCCCTAATAAGACTGAGCATTGTCCTCTGATATACGAGTCAGATTAAAATGACTCTTTGTTCGTAAACAGCTCGTGTTTGGCTCTTTAAGCAAACGAGTTGAACACGAACACATTTTTTGAGTTCGAAATATAAAACCGGGCCTAACACGAGCTGAGCATGGGCTAGCTCGTGTTCGGCTCGTTTACACCCCTAATAAGACAGTGCATTGTCCTCTGATATACGAGTCAAGCATACTCCTTTCTCCGCAAGCCGCCCGGCCTGGAATTATTGTTATTGTTGTATTTGCTTGCCTGTCATTGATATTTTTTTTCTCTTTATTTTATGTCATTTGACATCTTGATAAAAGTACCCTAATAATTTTGAGTATTTTTTTTTGAAATAATTATAACAACTGGTCTCTGTCATCATCATTATTGGCCAAAGGCATTATATGCAACTCTTGTGCCAACAATTTTTGCCACCAATGCATAAATTAAATAATTTGATATTTAATAAAAATAAAAAGTAAGTATTTTTATGTAAAAATTTGATTTATTTCATGGAAAAAGCATAAATAGAATTAAAAAAAAAAGAAAAAAAAAAAGCAATCTCAAATGGCTTCTATTTGATGAATGAGTTGCCAAAGAACAAAATGGTCATGCATTTGAGATTTTAAAATCCCAAATCCAATTTTTAAAGATTTTCAACTCCAATTTTAATATTTTTTATTCAAAGTCTTAGCATTCGACAGTAGCCATAATTTGTACTCAATTTTTTATTCAAATATTTTATTCGCGGACAACACCTTAAAAACAAAAATTTTCAAACATATCAACTGCTTTCGAAACACCAAACTTTAAATTGCATATTTTCCACAACAATTTTTGAACAGAGATTTCATACAACTACAGCCGAAACAAACACACCCTAAGTATTTAGCTTCCTCAATAGTTACTACAATGAGCTCAAATTTATCATTCATTAAACATAAATTTTTTTCAATCATTCTAGCATCTTCTAAATTTCCTTCATACCTTTTTAGTCAAAGACAGAGCCGAAGCCTTATTCTTAAATTTATTCTACCATGTAATAATCACAACTTGTCATCCAAAGAGTGCTATTTTTGTTATCCAACCCATTAAAATACCTCTATTTTGACATTCCTCCCAACTTTCATTCATATCTACTCCATTTTAATGCTTACCACAGACACTGTTAACCTCTTTACAATAAAAATAATATTTTTTTTGTTCGTATTAAACGATGTTAACCAGCCAAAAAAATTAATTAAGAAAAGACAATTGTAAAAAACTGTGATAATATGACAAAAATATTATACAGAGTCATAACTGCATCATTTAGATGGAATAATCTTACACCAATAGAAATTCCCTCCGAACTAAAGTAACAGCTTAACATCAAAACATCAAGGCAAAGGAAAATAATTAACAAGAATGGGATATATGGTTGGTGCTGATACAGAGATTCCTGAGCTGCCAAAAGTGGATTTGAGCGGATTATACATGAAAGGTTCTGATGAAAAGATTTGGACGGCAGCTCGATCAAAGATTGCAGAAGCTCTAGAAACTTATGGTGGCTTTGAAGTTATTTACAGTGAGGTTAGTTCTGAGCTACGAAATAAGCTACTGGGATTGGTGGTGCCAGGGATGTTCAACATGCCAGCTGTGAACAAACTTAGTGAAGCCCAAGAGCTGCCTTATCATGGCTTCTGGTTCTCGAAGTTAGGGTTTCCTTTCTTAGCTATTCAGTTGATCAATCCCAATTCTAGAGTTGATGTCCAAGAATATGCTGAAATTATTTGGCCCAAAGGAAATGACTTTTTCAGGTTTGAACTTCTCATATAACAAATTTTTTTTTATCATAGTATTTAATATTTTTAAAATTAAGCAGTTATGTGACTCAAATTTGTTTTTTTATTGTAAAATTCTTATGTATTTACATATCTAACAACCAAATTTTAATGTCTACAAACATGACACTCATTTTTTAATATCACATCAAAAATAACACTATCTTGAATCCACCTTTTTATGGATACGTTTATTACATTAAAGCATTATAAATGTAAATATGAAAGTTTGGGTGTCAGATATATAAATACATAAGAATTGTGTGATATGTATGTAAATCTTACTTTATTATTTTCTTTTATAGTAACACAGTGTTGAACTATGCAAAGCATATGCATGAGCTCATAAATATGATCCATCGGATGATCCTTGAGGGCTTGGGCTTGGAGGATCACTATGATTCACATATGAAATCATTGGCATACTCGATAAGATTTTCAAATTATTATAAGAACGAGTTCGATAATGGAACCAATCTTGCTTTGCCTTCCCACAAAGATCCAAACTTTGTAAGCATAATTTGCCCGCACGGTGTGGAAGGACTTGAAGTAGAGGCTGCTGGTGCTACAGGTGGTGAATGGATACGAACAACGAACATGACAAATTCATTCATTGTTCTAGTGGGCGAAGCATTTAAGGTTAGTATTTCTAATGCATAATTGTTATTTATTGTGAACAAATTTTTAATTTTTGTTTTTACTCAGGCATGGAGTAATGGAAGGCTTCATGCTCCAAATCATCGAGTAAAACTAAAAAATGAGACCGAAAGACGATATGCAGTGATTTTTAGCACATTACCGAGCGCCACAAATGATACAGTAAATGCTCCGGAAGAATTGATTGACGAACAACATCCTTTGCTTTTCAAGGCTTTTAAGTATTATGATTATGTGAAGTTTCGTTTTTCAGAGGAAGGAGAAAAAGCTGATGATGCCCTAAAAGCTTACTGTGGTGCTTAGTTAATATGTATACAGTTATATGTGCGCAATGTGCTGCTTATTTTCTGTAATTTTTTTTCTTTTTTAACCTTTTTGTGTGAATTTGTAAGTTTGATGGTGTGATCTGTCTTGAAAATCCTTCTCTGACAATAGAAGATTTGAATAATTCAGGGGTAAGCAGGATTTAGAAGATGTAATGGATTTGCAGTTTGTAATTTCAGCTGTTTTAAATCTAATGTTTGCTTAAATCTTAAATTCCTATATAAAAAGTCAAAGAGTGTTCCAAAAAATAATAATCTTAAAATTTTTAAATCAGTTTTAACTTGAGTTCTATATTCTATTTGTAGTTAATTCAGGGCAGCTCTATTAGTTTAGCGAAAGATTACAACTAACCTTCTAATTGCTATTGTATGTTTCATCCCTTCTTGGTAAATAAAAAATAATAAATAATACAGACAATTTAGAGGTCTTGGGGTATATCCAGGCTATGTGGAGATTATTTTATTGGTTTTTTTTTCCTTTTTTTTTTTATGTGTATGATATGACATTGAGAGCATTTTTAACTGAATTTGACTATTTAATACTCTATCATTTTATTATTTTATCGATTTTTTTTTCTGGTAATGTTGGTCCCAATTCTAAAGTTAATGTAGGCCTTTAAAAGAGATGAAAACTCTTAGGTGGATGAGTGACTTTACACTTAGAGACAAATGTGAAATGAATATATCTGTGATAGGGTTGGTGTAACTCCAGTGGCAGCCAAAATTAGAGAGAGTCGTCTTAGATGGTTTGGTCACATTGAATGTCGACCATCTGATGATTCAATTATGAAAGCAGATGTTTTTTATTTGACTTATTTTAAGAAAAACAAAAGTAGATTTAGAAAAACTTTGGCATATTGTATAAAAATTGATCTTAATTTATTAGAATTAAATGAAAATATGACGCTCAATAGGAAGCAATGGAGAAAAATGATTCATGTAACTGACCCCACTTAGTTGTTGTTGTATTTGTTTCTATATTATTGATCTTTCTATTTTTGTTTTATGTCATTTGACATCCTGACAAAAGTACCCTAATATTTTCTGGCTATTTGTGTGATTCAGCTTTCCTTATGATTGGCAGGTTTTATTGGGATTTGAGGTGAGGAATATAAGCTCCAATTTGGGATTTTTAAAACATATATTTATTTAATAATTTTTCAGAATAAACAAATTATTTTTAAAAGTGCTAAAAAAATAAAATTTCAGATTTTGAGTTTTTTTTTTTAAATTATAACAAATTGTCTCCGTCGTCATCATCATTGGCTAAAGTCATTATCTGGTGCCCTTGTGCCAACAAGTTTTGCCACTAATGCATAAAATAAATAATTTTATATTTAATAGAAATAAAAATTATGTATTTTTATGGAAAAATGTGATTTATTTTATGAAAAAACATAAATAGAATAAACAAAAAAGAAAAAAAGTGATCTCAAATGGCTTCTAACTGATGAATGAGACAAAATGGCCATGCATTTGAGATTTTAAACTCCAAAGTTTAATTTTTGAAGATTTTCAACTCCAATTTTAATATCTTTTATTCAAAGTTTTAGCATCTGTCGGTAGCCATAATTTGTACTCACTTTTAAATTCAAATATTTAATTCACAGACAACATTAAAAAAAAAAAATCAAACAGATCAACTGCTTTCAAAACACCAAACATTAGATAGCATATTTTTCACAACAATTTTTGAACAAAGATTTCATATAGCTACAGCCTAAGCAAATACACCCTAAGTATTTAGCTTTCTCAATAGCCAGTACAATGTGCTCAAATTTATCATTCATTAAACATAAAATTTTTACAATCACTCTAATACCTTCTAAATTTTCTTCATACCTTTTTAATAGAAGATGGAGCACCTATCTTTTGGCTTTAGTTATGGATGCTCTTACTGGACATTTACAGGACGATGTACCTTGGTGTATGCTTTTCACTGATGATACTAGAGAAAAAGCTAAAGAAAAGCTGAAATTATGGAGGCCTACATCAGAGTCTAAAGGAATTTGTTTGAGTAGAACTAAAAATATAAACATGGAATCTAATTTTAGCAGTAGTAGCTCTAGTGATAGAGTTGTAACTATGGGTGATCAAATTATTAAAAGATGTGATATTAAAAAAACTGAATACATTGAATGTAATTTTAATTCGGGTCTATTGTTCAAAATGATGGTAATATAGATTGGGATGTTATTAGTAGAATTCAAGTTGGTTGGTTGGAGTGGAGGAGTGCTTCGGGCCTATTGTGTGTTAGATAAGTACCACTTAGACAGAAAGGAAAATTTTATAAGATAGTGGTGAAACCTGGAATGCTCTATGTGTTGAATGTTGACCTTTAAAAAAGAAGCATAAAACTAAGTTAAGTGTAGCCGAGATGAGCACGCTTAGGCGGACGAGTGACTTTCCAAATGTGAAATGAATATATCCGTGATAGGGTTGGTGTAGCTTCAGTAGCGGCCAAAATTAGAGAGTCGTCTTAGATGGTTTGGTCGCATTAAACGTCGACAATCTAATGATCCAATCATGAGAGTAGATGTTTTATATTCGACTTATGTTAAGAAAAACAGAGGTTGATCTAGAAAGACTTGGCCATATTGTATAAAAATTGATCTTAATTTATTAGAATTAAATGAAAATATGACACTCAATAGGATGCAATGGAGAAAAGAGATTCATGTAACTTACTTCACTTAGTGGGATAAAAGCTTCTTATTATTGTTGTATTTGCTTGTCTGTCATTGATATTTTTTTCTTTTTATTTTATGTCATTTGACATACCCTAATAATTTTGAGTATTTTTTTTGAAATAATAATTGGTCTCTGTCATCATCATTATTGTTATTGTTGTATTTGCTTGCCTGTCATTGATATTTTTTTTCTCTTTATTTTATGTCATTTGACATCTTGATAAAAGTACCCTAATAATTTTGAGTATTTTTTTTGAAATAATAATTGGTCTCTGTCATCATCATTATTGTTATTGTTGTATTTGCTTGCCTGTCATTGATATTTTTTTTCTCTTTATTTTATGTCATTTGACATCTTGATAAAAGTACCCTAATAATTTTGAGTATTTTTTTTGAAATAATAATTGGTCTCTGTCATCATCATTATTGTTATTGTTGTATTTGCTTGCCTGTCATTGATATTTTTTTTCTCTTTATTTTATGTCATTTGACATCTTGATAAAAGTACCCTAATAATTTTGAGTATTTTTTTTGAAATAATAATTGGTCTCTGTCATCATCATTATTGTTATTGTTGTATTTGCTTGCCTGTCATTGATATTTTTTTTCTCTTTATTTTATGTCATTTGACATCTTGATAAAAGTACCCTAATAATTTTGAGTATTTTTTTTGAAATAATAATTGGTCTCTGTCATCATCATTATTGTTATTGTTGTATTTGCTTGCCTGTCATTGATATTTTTTTAAGTTTTTTTTTTTTTTTTTTTTTTTTTTTTTTTTTTTTTTTTTGTGTATGATATGATTGTTAACTGAATTCGGCTATTTAATACTCTATCCTTTTATTATTCTATCTATTTTTCCTTTGTTAACACTATCATTGCTGTGTGGTTTTGTTAGGTGGTTGAAAGACAACGTAAAATTTGTCAAAAAATCATGAAAAAAATCTTTTTAATCAATTAATAGCTCTGAATTTTAAGATGAATAGTTGCAAAATAAAGAATAAAAATAATTATTATCATAAAATTAGATGGGGGCATCTAGAACACATAAATAAAATTATTTTTATGAGTACATTTTCAAGTTTTAAGATTTTGGATAAAGTAACAAACACTATTAAATAAGTGGCAAAATATGTATTTAGAGATTCAAAAGAAAAAAAAATTCCATAAATAAAAATGGTTGGTGGTGGAATAATAATGTACAAGAAAACATTAAAAAAAAGTTATGTTATAAAAATTGGTTTAAATGTAAAAGATTAGAGAACTGAGAAAAATATAAAATGATTCGTACGATTCTAAGAAAACAATCTATGATGCTAAAAATTCTATTTTTAGTGATTTTTATAATATATTAGATACTAAAGATGGTGAAAAATATAAGTATAAACTAACCAAAAAAAAAAGTAAAGCTTTAACTCAAGTAATGTGTATTAAAGACAAAAATAAAAAAAAAAAGTGATTTTCTTAGAAAAAGATATTCAACATAGTTGGGTGAATTATGTTGATAAACTTTTCAATGAAGTATCTAAAAAAATGATTGACCTTTAGTGATGTTATTATCGTTAATAATAAAAAAATGTTTAATTTTTACCATCGCAATAGTAAAAAAAATTAAGGAGGCTTTAAAGAAAATCAAGGGTGGAATGGAATGTCTGTAGGACTTCATGATATCTCAATTAAAGTGTGTAAATATTTAGGAGATTTGGGAGTTTCTTGGCATACTAAACTCTCTAATATTATTTTAAAAACTAAAAGGATGCCCGAGGAGTGAAGGAAGAGTATTTTGATCCACATTTTAGAAATAAAAGGGATGCACAGGAATGTGCAAATTATAGAGGAATTAAATTGATGTGTCATACATTAAGATTATGGGAGAAGGTAATTGAACATAGTTTAAGATGTTCTCAAAATCAGTTTGGATTTATGTTGGCAAGTCTACTATAGAAGCTATACACTTGTTGAGAAATTGATGGAGAAGTATAGAGAAAATAAGGAGGATCAACATATAATTTTATTGATTTAGAAAAATCTTCTGAAAAGGTTCCAAGAGATATCCTTTGGAGAGTTCTAGAGAAGAATGTTGTTGATATGACTTATATTCAAGTCATTAAAGATAAGTAGCCTAGAGCACTTGTGTTCGAACATAACGAGTATTAACCCTTTTTTTTATTTTATTTCAATTGGATTACATTAGGGATCAACTTTAAGCCCACATCTTTTTGCTTTAGTTATGGAAGCTCTTACTGGAAATTTACAGGACAATGTACCTTGGTGTATGCTTTTCGTTGATGATATCCTTCTTGTGAATGAGACTAGAGAAAAAGCTCATATGCTTTTCGTTGATGATATCCTTCTTGTGAATGAGATTAGAGAAAAAGCTAATAAAAAATTTAAATTATGGAGGCCTACATCGGAGTCTAAAGACCTTCGTTTGA